GTTAAACTTCGTAACTTGCGACGTTAATTGTAGAGGAATCAGCAGTCGTAGAAGGATCACTAGTTCTATTCAACGACTCTTTTACCTGCTCCACTCGCTTCCGTGCCCTGTAATCACGGTAATATTGTGCATTTTTCCCTCGTGGACCTCTTGAACCAGTGGAAGTGCTTGTGGTTGCCTCACCTGGAAAATGTATTTGTATTAATAATGTACTATGTGAATGCGTCATAATGTAATTTCAGAAGAGAAACAATCAATGGATATTCACAAGAGACGTACATTGACATAACCTTAAATCCGTCGCATTGTCTGTGGGATTGTTTTCACTCATTTTTTACAATTGTTATTCACTAAATTTGAAAATAAAAAAATACTACCCTATTAAATTATATGTGTATCAAAACAAACTAAAAAAATATTTATAGAAGAACAAAAATTTTATGACTTATATTATTTTTATGCTAGTGAGAACCAAAACAATATGGAAATAAATGAGGGAAAACTGGATCCTACCTCGTGATTTCCCGGACAATAAAAATGTAGCGTTAAACGTTTAACGCAACCTTGTTGGAAGTCGCATAAGAAGTATAACTTCAAAAAATAGTAATTTTTTTCCGCGCATGTGCAGTATAAAGGAACAACTTTATCATATAAAGGAACAACTATTTTACGCAGTCTTAAACGAATTTTTCTTAAATGTTAAAGCAATAATTTTGTAACCAATTTTAAATTTCGCCAAAAAAAAATTTTAATATTTTTTAAGAGTTTTAAAGTTATAGCAAAATAGCGTGCGACAAAAAAAAACTTGCTTTTTATAAAAATGTCCATACGTCCATAAATATTTGAGCTAGGATTACGGAATTTCGCGCAATTATTGCATATAATTTTCAAAATGGCTGTCACTAGCTACAAATCTATTGCTACATTTTTTAACATAGGGTATTCAAAAACATTACTTTCTGTTTGTAATTAATTTTTGGTCCCTCAAACATCTAAAAGCTTTAAACTTCATTTATATGTTTTAGAAACCTCATGATCTAAACAAATTCGTTCAAAAAAAGGTTAGAAAAATCTAAAAAAAGTTATAAAATGATTCTTTTAGTATTTTTTAAGAAAGATTTTAAAAGCATTTTTTAGTATAGAAGTGGTTCCATTCTTTAGTTCATCCCTGTATATGCCTCGTAAGTAAGATGATCTTGAAGCAAGGAAAAGTGAACTGGCTCTGTTTGAGAAAAGAAAAACCTCTTTGACGGTGTTTGTTTATATTCAGAGAAATAAGGAAGCAGCGTTATGAAAAAAAATATTTACGTTTTGGTTATAAGTTCGGTTAACAGTTGACTAATCTACGTCACAAAAGGAAAATTTGACTAGTTTTCCATAATGATAAAATTAAACTACATACTTAAATGCTATTATCCTTATGCATGTAATAAAAACGTTCTTTTGCAAACCAAAGACTTTTTAATTTAAAGTTTTTCTCTACCATAACGAAACAAACATTTAGTATAATAAAAGAAGTCTAGAAGAATATATGAGTGTGAAACAATAATAATATACCTAAAATAACGTTAAAATAAAATGAAAAATTTAAATTAAATAAATTAATTAATTAATTAGTTTATCTTAGTATGAATGTTGAAGAACTAAAAGATAACGTAACACCAAACATATAATGATGAGCCAAAACATTATGATCACCCCTACATTTTTGAACGAAATCGCCTAATTGACGTGGGGTGAAGGTGAAATGGTGATGAACTGTTACTTGGACAAGGAATCATTCTGGCATTTACTTTTGGTAGTGATGGGAAAGGCTACTAATTTATGCGAATTTGATGGGAGGCAGATAGCAATGGCCTGAAGTCTCGGAACAAGTATCACCGAAATTGCACGACTGATAGGTGGCTCACGATCAACTGCAACGATGCTGTTTCCATGACAGCACAAGCTGAAATAATATAAACAAGGCACTGCATTGCTTCATGACAGCTCAACTTCCCACTCTGCTGGTGTTACTCAAAAACTTATTTAACAATTCGGTTGGAAGCAGTTTAATTATCCATTGGCATAGCCTCGACCTTGCACCTTTAGTCTACCACTTGTTCTTGAACTTAGAGTGTGATTTTGGATCGAGGCGCTTTGACACTGATGACGACTTAAAAAACGATGTTCAGTAGTGGCTGCCCTCAGAGGCTGCATCTTTCTTTGAGAAAAGTATTGGCAAATTGGTTTCCTGCCGAAACAAATAACTGAACAATCATAACGACTATGTAAAAAAAATATTTTTCGTAATGCTTTTTAATACAAAAAAAAAAAAAAAATTATTTAAAAAATGCATTTTTTCTGTGCTTTTTTCATCCCCCCTTCCACACCCGAAAAGGAAATAGAAAAAAATAAGTTGTAAAAATTTATCTGAATTAAAAGTACATTATTTGAACTATACGAACTTATTGTCTGATATCGCTGTATATACAAATGCGGTTTTACTTCCTATATATATATCTTTTTGCGCTAAATTCAATGTGACTGAAACTAAGTTGGTTGATAATTAATTTTGAAGCTAAAAATTTTGTTATAAATAAAAAGTACAAGTTTCGAGTTATGCCTACTTACGCGCATGATATTGCTATCGAAACAAGTGGATATCGTTTATTTTGTATATTTTTTGCTTTCTCCAATAATCTACAAATAAAAGAGAATGCTAGCACTAACCTCCCACGCATTCGCATCATTCGTGAATTATTTTTACTTGCAAAAGTGCCAATTTCGGCATACTTTGAATATCTTCTGTTCATAATTTTCCTTCGAGAAAGAAATGGCATATTTTTATTGCTGCCTTTATCGCTGCTCTATATTTACAGAAACGGACTTTCACAGTTACAAAACATATGTATGATTTTAGTTATGCAAGAAAAATGACTACATTTTAGTTTTTAAGTCTTTGTCGAACTGCATTAAATAATTTCATAATATTTCAATTTCTATCCGCTTCTAATAAGTCTAATTTGAACTCATCTTAATATTCTCTTTGCTATACGTATGTTACCTTTAAAAACTAATTTCCTTTCACGAATAACAGGTTGCAGAGAAAAACACATTCCCAATAAAACATCCCGAACCTGAGCACCGCTTCAAAACAATGCTCTTCAGAACATTAAAATAAATAAAATTTCCAAATATGATATCTGTAATTCTTCTGTTGCCAAGGCAACTAAAACGCATTTCTCCTTTCCGAAATTTAATTTTTTGTGTAACGTAAATGTTTTGTTTTCATATTTTGGTAGTGCCTCCGGTGCACTGCTAGAATTGAGGTGTTAAAATACATAGTTTAAGTTTAGTTTATGAACTAGCCTATATGTAGGCGGATACACTCAAGTTAAACCTTGACTACACAATCACTTAGAACGTTTTAAATTTTTTTTAGTGGGTGATAACTGGTTATTTCAGCATATAAGTGCTTCTTATTATATATGTTACCGGCAAAGTATGAAACGCCGGCATTATATAGGATGCCTAGGCATTGTATATAATGGCGGACGTTTTTAGGCAAAGTATGAAATGTGAGAAGTATTACATTCTTTCCCAAGGCATTGTATATAATGCCTAGGCATTCTATAGAATGACGGATGTTATTTAGGCAAAGTATGAAATAAACGTCCTGATGAGGCTATTGTGTAAATGATGTGCATGTTACTGTGAATGACCGAAATCGGTGATTGTTGACTTTCACCGCTGAATATTGACAATCACATAGTCACTTTGGAGAATGCCCGAAATATTTATTACATCCGATTTGACATTAATTTATTCGAGTATATAATTACATTTTTTCGATATTTTAATACTTACTGACAATAGATTAGAAGAAACATCAGTGTTTGGAGTATCGGACAAATATATACCGGGCAATGGCACTTGAAATTAAAAAAATATCAGCGTGGGGTATACAGGGCAAATGAATACCGGGCAGTGGCACTGAACCTTAAAAAACATCAGTGTATGATATACCGAGCAAATGTATACCGGGTAGTGGCACTTAACTAGACCCAGTATGACGAGACCTTTGGTAAATGTTCGAAATATATACTAGGACTAGTCAAGTTCCTTAGTTATGTTCCTTCCTAGCAAGTTTTAGGCATTATATACAATGCCTAGGAATTCTATATAATGCCGGATTTCATACTTTGCCGGTAACATATACCTAAGTTTCTCCAGGAATTATTTTAAAAAAGAAAGTTTTTTTTCTATCAAGAACCATAGTCTTGATACCCATGGTAAATTGGTAAATCTTGTGGTATATTCAGTCGCAAACGTATGCTAATGAATAAACAGTTTTCCCTTACCAAAGAGCTGAAAGAAGCCATGTCACATTACTTCTGTAATTGAAGCAAACCACCACGTCATTTTATTGAGTTTCAAATATTAGGCATAATGCAAAAATAAAACCAGTATCTTTTACTAGTTTTAAAAAGATACTGGTTTTGCTTTCTGTGGTTAGTTCAATTTTTAAGCATTATATTTTTTTTTCGATTACTAAATTACTATTGTAACAAAACTATTGAAATTTAATTATATTAAATATGTTAAAATTTCAATCATTATGGCTGGAACTTAAATCTTCATTTATTTTAGAATTTCCAAAATTAAAGTAACTTGAATAAAAAAAAATAGACTAATTCTATGTATTATGAAGCACTTTTTATGCTACATTCTCAAGTGAATTTCGTTACTTTTCCCTAATTTATTTTTAATCCTCACCTACCCGTAATGTATTTTTCTAACTTTCATTTTCTTTCACGCAAGGTAAAAATTGGGAAAAAAGATACTTTTAATCACTATATGTAACACACATAAACCTAATTTAATTACTTACTTTAATCCCAAACATTTATTCTGTAAACAAGTAGGTTATGCTATCTTACAGCATCTGGTGAGTTCCCACACTAAAATAAAGATATTCTGAACAGAAATCAACAGAAAAACTTCGATCTTTCCTTATCTGTTGGCGTGGTTAATTTTTAATCCTAAAAATGAAACATCTGCAATAGTGTAAAAAAGATATTTTTTACGCTTATATAAAGTAGTCGATTTTTAAAAATTTATATCATTTCACTATGGCGCTAATTGTCTTGTTTTTCATCGGTGCTTTTGCTGTTATTGCAATTGATCCATGCGTGTCAGCAAGTTTAGAAGTAATAATTTTTTTTTTTATTTTCATGTAAAAATAAAATAACATTTTATTTTACATTTACGAAAATTTAAAAAATATTATTTCTAATCTTTCACTTTTCTTATTAGGTTAATGGACAGAAAAATGACTGTATATAGTTCTGATTAATATAATACTGTTTTACGAAACGATATTATAAATAAATCTGTTTATAATGTTAACCAATTAGTTTGTAAAACACAATAAGCGGAAAACTTATGTAGCTTCAAAAATATATAGTGAAGATTTAAATGAGTTAATTTTTTTCATTAATCTATTTTTATGTACTACTATTTTTTTTAAAGGAAATAACTTACAATTTTACTTATCAAATACAGTATGTATTTAATTTGATACATTTTTGACTTAATTTTTCTTCATTATAAAGTAACAACAGTAAAATAAAATAGAATCAATTTCTACGCTTATTAATTTGAGTTGATTCTAATTCTATTATTCATAAAAAAAAATTACAATTTTCAATTTGTTTGTGGTTGCATGTTAATAAAACAAAATAATGCTTAATTGCCATGTCTTTTAAATAATTTAAGCAATATATTTATTTGAAAAAGACTTTTTAAAAACAAATAAAAAAGATACATTAAAATAAATTATAATTTATTATAATTTCGATTCAACATTAAAACTATTTTCCTTCTTAATTTTGCTAATTAAATCTAACTAAGACATTAGTATAGTTATTAACTAGAGTACATCAATCTCATTGGAATTCATTTAAAATTAGCGGAATTCTATTTTTAAAGAACTACTTTGAATAAGAATGTTACAAAATGTGATTAACTATTATCCTATCTTATATAGCTGTGTATTTTTATTTTGTGCATTTCCAAGAAAAAGAAACTTTCGTAAAAAATAGCGCGAGTTCTTTTAAACATTCTTTAGAAAAGAAATAAATAAGGATGTTTTTTCTGTGCAGAAGATTTGAGAATAATTATTTTTCCCTTTAAATTTTCAATTTATGTAAAAAAAAGTGTGTATGTAATACATTTATACATCAAGTTAAAAATTAGGAACTATGTTTAGATATATTCTTTGTTAGTATTCTTTTGCAAAAGTTTTAACAGCATATATTTTGAAAACAGGTTAGCTATTTTGTAACTAGTCAGATAATTTATTTGTGATTTCTCGATTATTAATGAATTTTAAAAGACCAATGTAAAAAATTATTTTGTTAATGTCAATATCAGAATATACGTTTTTGAAGAAATTCTAAAATTTTATAATTCCCAGTAATTAAAAATAAATTAAAATGTATTATCAATTTTTATCATAATGAATTATCTAATTTTATTTCATTTACTTCCAGCTGATTGATGAGCCAGTGGAGCTACAAGGTAAGTAATTACTAAACACATCTTGTTAGAAAATATTGCTTGGTCAAATAAATGAGTTTTATTAAAACAGTAATTTATTTTATCCATAATTATCAATGCATTTAAAACATTTAGTATATGTATAAAAATGAAGTTCTTAAATGCTCAAATCTAATCTAAACGGAGAAAAAAAATTCTTGTAAAATTACCGTACATATGGTTATGATATTTCTGCTAAAAAATAATAATAAGAAGAAGAAAGCATAATTTTGGTAATAAAAATCAAAAATATAAGATGTTAAAAATATTCATTTGTAAAATTTTGTTCATAAGGTAATAGTTACCGGAAATGCTGACTTTAAAATTATAATGCTTATTTCCACTCATACAGTAAAAAAATACAAAACTGAAAAGTAAATTTAACCGAATAAATGGTTTTCACATTCTTCCACATTTATCGAATTTTATCACATAATCAAAAATTATTTTTTATTGTTAATTTTTCCCAAATCATTACTAAAACGCTTAAGAAAGATTACCGAGGCTTTTAGTATTCGCATACAACCAGAAATGTAATAAATTTCACCAGATTCTGTTAGTTTTGATCATACTTTTTTTTTCTCTGCGTAAATTAGGGACCTTTAAAATAATTTTTCTTATTTCATGACAGTATATTTTTCAATTTTTTCCATCACCTCTATCATTTGCAGCGGATTATCAAAAGCTACAACTTGAATAACAATAATATAACAATGCGCTAAATATAACAACAATCCTTGAGAATTTCTCAAAACTTTATCATACTTAAACGGAAGATAAAGTTTTTACTGAAATAAAATCTAAATTCATTGCCGCTCCATGCTTGTAGCATTGTGCTTGTGTCTAAAGAATGAATTTCAAATGCTTTCCATAATTAAATTACCATGATTTTTTTTTAGAAAATTAGATACATTCTAAAGTTTTATAGAGATATTTCACTCTCAAAAAAAATCCCAGATTTGATTTATTCTTTATGCACTACAAAGCAAACGCTTACACTTTTAACTTTATAGCTGAAACTATAACATTTTTATAGCCTCTATTGACAAAAATTAGTTATTAACGAATATTTTAAATGAACAAGCTTGTAAATTTTTAAATTCATTTAAGCACAGTTTGCTTAATTTTTTCTTTAAATAACTGCATAAATATGATTTAATTGCGAATGCAATTCAATGACATTATTTAATTGACATTTTAATTAAGTAACATGCCAATTAAATAACAATTAAAAACTGTTCAGTTTAAAAAGATTATCATGAACATTTCAGAGAACATTCAATGAACGTTACAAACAAAAAAAAATCATATTATTTTTAGAAAAATGTCTGTTTTTCCAGCGCATTATTATAAAAGTAATGTGGTTTTATTCATAAAAGTGCTCAGTGATTTAGTCTTACCTGTATCTTAAAACCCTAATAAAGATTTAGCAATGTCTACTTAAGTATAAAGCATAAGTATTTTACATGTTGCTGTTTGACTCCACAGATTGGCCAAAGATCCCTAAGCTCCCATTCAACTGCACAATGGAAGATGGAATAACTGAATGCTGTGGAAGATTGCAGGTTTCTCTTTTGAATTTAGATAAAAATAGTAAGTTTTATTTAAGTGTTTTGCCTAAAACATGCATTAAAGAATGCTAGGTAAAAAAAATCCCAGATCTGGTCAAGTAGCTATTGCAGTTGGCAACCTTTCATAGTGCTGAAACCACCCTCCAATCTTTTGAAACAGTCAGCATTGTAGCTTTAATTTCAAAGCGCGAAAATTTGAAATCTACAGAAATTCAATATTTTATGAATTATATAAATAATTTTAAGAACGTTTTCAAAGCTTGAAAATCAGAATTGGAATATTGTTTATCCAATGCAGATGCTTTGATAAGTGGTTATGGATAATGATGAGACGAAAAATATATTTCTAGTCCATAACATGATGTCAACCAATCCACGTTTTTTTATTATTCCATTCAATAATAACGATCCAAAAAGCTTTTCTGACGGAATTTCTTACTCATCTTTTCGCAGTTAGAAAAGTAATGGTGAAGAAATTTGGAGAATGTTGTTTCTCTTCTTTGTCATGAAATCTGAGCTTTAATTTCCAGAAAGGTCACAATGTAGTGGCCGAGTTATCGTTTTTAGTAAAGATTTTAATTAACAGGCGACATTTTTGTAAAAATATCTACTGTTATAGCAGACTCAAAAAAAAGAAGAATTTGCTTGAAAAGTTACTTTTAGAGTCAAAGAAGATAGTAACTTTTGAAAAAAGTTCAAACTGTTCAAAATATATATATATNTATATATATATATATATATATATATATATATATATATATACTCAAGAGCCAAAACATTATGTCCACCTCTTAATAACGAGTTGGCCCACCTTTAACCCACAACGCAGCTGCAACCCACCTTGGTATAAATGCCACAAGTCCTTGGTAGATGGCCGGAGACAAATTGTACCAGATGTTTAAGCAACGGTCACGCAAATCCGAGATAGTGAAACTTAGTGGTCTTTGAACTCTGAGCTGCCGTTTCATGGCATCCCAAATGTGTTCTATTGGATTGAGATCCGGTGAGTTATGTGGCCAGGACATTAACTGGAATTCAGCATCATGTTCCTGGAACCACTCCAACACAATTTGAGCCTTGTGACATGGGGCGTTGTCCTGTTGGAAAATTCCATTTCCAGCTGGAAAAACAGAGTTCATGTGAGGGTGCAATTGGTCCGCAATGATGTTCAGATACCCTGTAGCATTCATGGTCTGCTCTACCACAACCACGGGTCCCAAAAACGCCCAAGAGAACGTCCCCCAAAGCATAATACCGCCACCACCGGCCTGTGTGTGACCTACTTTACATTGAGGAAGCAGCTGTTCGCCTGGAAGACGGCGTATCCTGACACGGCCATCGGCGTGATGAATGTGATTCATCTGACCAGGCAACTCTCTCCCACTGATCCATGGACCAGTCGCGATGATCCCGGGCCCAGCGCAAGCGCAGTTGGTGATGATGACGCTTGGTCAGCAAAGGCACACGAGTGGCACGTTTGCTGCGTAGCCCCATATCCAACAGTGTCCGCTGAACAGTGTGCGCTGATACTATTCTACTTGACCCTGCATTGTATTGGGCTGTCAGCTGAGTCACTGTCTGGCTCCGGTTTTGCTTCCCCAAGCGAGACAATCTCCGATGACCTTTTTCTTTCATAGCGTGTGAACGTCCAACACCATGTCGTCTGCTGTTGGTTTCACCGTCATTCAACCAATTTGCATAATTACTAACAACTGTAGATCGCGAACACCACGCGAGTCGTGCCGTTTCAGAAATACTTGTTCCGAGCCTTCGAGCCATTACAATCTGCCCTCTATCAAAGTCGGTTAGATCAACACCTCCTAGAAGTAGAAAGGCCTCAGCACGGATCAATTTAGTAGTCCGATGTGACGAAGTTAACTGCGCAGTAGACGAAAAATAAGAAAGATGTCATTACGTTAAGGGTACTAAGCTGCGCAGTGTTTGAAAATACAAAATATGTCATTACGTTTGGACTACTATGGGATATTTATNGAGCCATTACAATCTGCCCTCTATCAAAGTCGCTTAGATCAGCAGCCTTTCCCATCACACACGGAAGTAAGTGAAAGAATGATTCTTCAAACTCTCCGGCAACAGTTAAATACCACTTCCACCAGATCACGTGCCTTCAACGTCATCCAGGAGAGTTCATTGCAAAATGTAAGGGTGGTCATAATGTTTTGGCTCTTGAGTATATATATATATTTATAAACTTCTAAACTACGAAGTACAGACAAATTATTTATCGATTTATTTGCTTAGGTTGCTTGAAACTTATTTTCATTGGCGAAATAGTTGCTTTGAATATTTCATTCACCATTGACGAACATCAATTGTTTAATTATCAAATCTCAGGTAAGATTTCAACCATTTGTTAAAGTTTATCTATAAAAATTAGATTTTTTTTAATAATTTCTTAACTTTGCAAGAAAATCTTCGATATAACATTAGTAAAATTGTGTACCTTTTTGCTAACAATTATTGCATTGTATAAAATAAGTAGTCACTTATAGAGGGTGCGTCATTTTAAAAACTTAAAATATTTGTTTCTTAAAATCATTGTCACTATTCGTTCAAAAATAAGATTTAAAAATTTTCCAAAAACAATAAATTATTGCCAGATATCAATTAAAGCAGTGAATTATAAAGTACAACAAACAATATAAGAAGCATGCTGGAATAAGTACACATCCATAGCTGGGTATTTAATCCCGGAAGCCTGCCTACCAAGCTGATTAACTTTCCACTGTACGTTATACTGTGCAAATATAGTTAAACTTTTCATGGCGTTTGTCCATACCTAAACAGAACTCTTCTCGTATTTGACGTTTATAGTGCCTGCGCAAATTAAATTAAGTATAGTATTAGTAGTATTCTATTTACGCCACACAAGAACTGTGCAATGGGCTATTGGCGACGATCTGGGGAGCAACCCTGAGGATAGCCCGAAGACACGTCATTAGAATTTTGATCCTTCCCTGCTTTGATGTTTGCGCACGAAGTCGAGCACTTTAGAGCAGAGCATTTTAACAAAGACCAATTCTGTGCACCCTCGGTTCCTTCGCAGGATGATCAAAGTGATCACCCACCCATTCATTGACCGCTGCCAGTAATGCTTGTCTTTGATAATTTACTGGGAACCGACGTCTTAAAATAAGTCCCCTAGGGGACTAAATAGAGACAACGTACTCTTTTTTGGCACTCCGGCACTCTTTTATTAGCACTATAGCTCTCACCGCTTTTGGATAGCTGGGGTTGTGAGTTCGATCAAGAAACTGATTTAACAACCGGTGTGTATGTGTAACAACGTGCATGTTAAATCTGCAATGGATGAAAGTCCTCTAGTTGGTTCTGGTGTGGACGTTTGGAGATTGAAGTTTCGGCTCAGTTGCTCCCCACACAGTCTGACCAGGGCCAAAATTATATGGTGTTCTTACCATTGCAATTGTAAGTTCAATGGCTGTTGACGATGGCTGTTAAAGCCCTAAATGACGGAGGGAGGTGCGTGGCCATGGTTAGATAATATCTGTGTCTTTTTTTTTTTCATTTTTATTGGGAAAACTAAAATATTTTAAAATGTTTTGCACTAATGATAACGAATTCGAATTTCGACAACTTGTTTTACAAATGATGGTGTAATTTTAATTAAAAATTCACTTCGTCCTCATAAATCGTTTAAGTAAAAGACTTTAATGTCACCTATTGTATTATTGATATTGCTTCTTTTCGAGCATAATAAAATTAATTAGTTTTTTAATTAGTTGATAATTAATTAGTTTGAATAAGCATAAATATTTCTTTTTAATTTTTGAAAAGTAAAAAAACAGGTAACTAAACAAATTTTTAAGATTTTTGATTAATTAATGAAATATTAGATCCTAAATTCCATTTTAACCAACAAGACAGGTGTAAAAAAAGACTTTCAAATAATAAAAAAATAGGTAAGTCTGCGAAAAATAAATTTATTTTACAATTTCGAAGCCGCAATTCCATTTTTAATTACTTTGATATAAGTTAAATAAAATGCGAAATTTTATTTTTTATTCAGTTTGCCTCTAAATGGATAGTGCGGCATATTTTAATTACATTTCATATTTTAGTATTTTAATCAATAATCAAGAAAAACATCAAACTCGTAAAATAATAATGAGAATTGATTTTGGTGATTAGTTTCAGATATTTCTTTTAACTTTACTTTTCACAAGTACTGTTATTGCTATTTTAAGCACGTCTATAAATGTTAATCTATAATAAAAATCTAGTAATAAAAATCTAATAAGCGTCTATAAATAAAAATCTAGTAAGCGAGCTGAGTCGTGTATAAAGCATTATTTTTCTTTCAAACAAGCAAAGCGTCAAAAAATTAGAATTAAAAATAAAAAATTAAGAAAACAAGTAAATTTTAGAGATGTTACTTTATTCTATGTTTTCATAACTTCGATTCCCTATTAGTTGTAGTAATTAAACTGTATTAGTGCGTACCTTTATTTTTAAATTTATGTCAATAGATTGAGATAAATGAAATATGGATTTTATCCAGTACAAATGGAAAAATTATCCAAAATGGAACAAATTATGATGATTCGTACCCACAAATGAATAAGAAGACACCCTACCCCACAAAAAAAATCCGTAAAACATTGATTGTTTCTTGTGCTGATTTTCCCCACACAATCATTATTGTCTGAGTTTTATAAGCTTTTCTTAGTTCCTTGTTAGACATATATGAAAATTAGTTTCATCAGAATTTAAAGAACATCCATCTCAAATGCTGGGCACTTCAGCTAGCACACTATTTCGTGCTTTGACAGCTACTTAGTTAAATTATGTACGAGTTGTACCTTTTCTTGTTGTAATTAACGATTTTAGTTTTATGTATTATATTCTTGATTTATTAAATATTTTTTATGAGTTATTTTGGTTCTAATAAAAAATATTCATAATTAAACTTACATTTCTCAAATGTTGACACGGATGTTTTAGTCAAATATATAACACAACTCTGCAGTTTCTTCATGTTAACTATTGAGATATTTTGCTGAAAGGTAGACATATGGGGGAAATTTAGTTAAATTGGAGGAACAGCAAATAATTAGATCTTGATGCCCTTTAGCTAATAAATAGTCATATCCAGCAGTTTTAAAGGGCGTCAAAGCCTTGCGATATGTTGGTATCATTCCAAGTTTAAGGATAAAATTAATCGGTGTACCAAGCCTTGTGGATGCAAACCTCATCTTAACGATTAGCCTCTGTTTCAACGATGATTAGTAAAGGAGCTTTCAAGCAATGTCATCTATACGAGCAAGGCTTAACTTCAAGATTAAACTTTCTCGTGATATTGAATCTGATGTCTCAATTTTATTTTTACAATCGGCTAGCAGGAAATCTAAAAAAATTTTAGCTATTTGTAACTGATGAATGCCAACAGCTAACTTTGAATTTTTATATGCAGTGTTAATTTTTTTTTATCATTTTACGTAGCCAAATTTTATATAACCAATACTTAGATGTGATTTTTTTTCTCGTCATTAAAGTTTATTAATTGACGTGAAAAAAAAGCTCGGCTGACAGATAATACAGTTAAATTATCATCACGAGGACACATATTTTGAGATTTTCTGTATAAACACTTCTCTGTTCAAAATCTTGATTACTTTAAATTTTTCCTTTTCCTGCATAAATTTTCTAACAATACGAGAGCTTTGTCATTAAAACGAATTAAGAATATTATAGTTAATGCCATTATAATAATTTTATTCTACGTTTCCAGAACTTTAATTCCCTATTCCAATAGTTTTAGGAATTACTAAACTGCATCATTACACACTTTCACTTTTGATTGTACATATACGAAAGTAGATAAATGGAAATAAATTAAAAATTAAAAGACAATCATGCAAAATTTTTCTAATTAGTAAATGTTGGAAAATATTAAGGCTGAACTCTGAGATAATTACAAGCAATTGAGCTAAATATTTATGAAATCACATTTGGCAAAAATTTAGTGATTTCATGAAATTACTGTCCAAAATAACGAAACACAGCTCAAGAATTGCTAAAATATCAAACAGGAGAGTTTTATTTTTGAGAGTATGCATAATTTACCTTTTTGCAGATTATATTGTATATTTATGATTTATTTTATAATTAAGCTTTTATGTTTTTAACCATTTCTTGATTCGTTTTCACTAATTAGCCAAAAATCCACCTCCTATTTGTGTTGGTGTTCCTTTCGCAAAATTATTCGGTGATATTTGCATAGAATTTTACGATTTACATGTATCAAAGGACCACACTCAAGTTTGCATGAAAATAAAGCCAAGATTATTCAGAAAAGTAATCACAGAATATGATACAGGATGTTTCAACATGACTTCGACTGAAATGAGCACAGAAGCTTCATTAACACAGCTTTATTGAAAACTTTTATTGAGATATTGTTTTTTTTTTTAATAAAATGCTTTTTTTTGTGTTAGATTTAATAAAAAAATATTGTGTTAAGAAAAAATATTGTGTTTTTGTACTTTTTTTTCCTTATTTGCTGCTTTTATTGCAACCAGAAAGAAGCGCAATGGCATTTTTGCTCTACTTCCATTACCCAAACAATTTCCGTCGATTTTAAAAATAAAAAAAGAATATTGAAGTAGAAATATTCGGTTCATTACATTCTGATCAAGAAGTCAGTTACTAAGTCCACCAACAGATGACCTTGTGGTCAATCGAAATTTTCAAACAATGTTTTTTGCTACATTTCAGACCATTCCAACTGAAATATTTGCACAAGTAAATTTTCATTTTGTTTTCAGACTGCTCGACTTTGTGCTGCAGCTGATAGTTATTTTGTTTTATAGCTTTTCTAAGTGAAAGAGCGGCATCTATTGACAAACTTTAGAACAAATTTTGAGACTTGTCGAAAAAAACTCTCTGGCTTCCTAAATAGAAAGCAGCAATGGATACATTTCTATTTCCTTCCGTTTTTTAAATTACCAACGACTTTTGAAACCCCCAGTATAAATTAAAATTTATTAAAGGAGAAGAAAGAAGAAAAAAAAGGTAAGACAATGAGAAGTTTTAAAAGCTTAGAGGAAGAAGGTTCCAAGTTACCCTCTAAACGAGCACAAAACTTAAATTTTTACCACGAGTTTCTTTCAGTTTTAAGCAATATTACCACATTTATTTATTTTAACATATTTTTATAAAGTAAGAAATAGACTTTATAAACAACTATCCTGTGATGCCGCAATAAGCATTACACACATTTCCTATCCTTTAAAATTTCTTTATTTCTCGTAATCTTATCTTAAATCTTTTAAAAGAATACTAAGTTAAGTGCACTTGAGATACAGTTTCCATTTATTTCGTGTATAGCATTAATGAATCAAAATCACTAAAAGGCTTTGATCAAAGCAATCTTCTATACCTAGAATCTGAAATTAAACGGAAGGTATAAGGCTCTTAAATCTTGATAAGATTGTTTATGACCCTCTAACCATTCAATAGTCTAAACAAAAGTAACTTTTATTTATTTAAGAATCTTCATTTATTTTATATGAATAAAAGTTAATAATAAAACAGTTGAAAATATATTTAGTCTTATAATTAGAATTTTTATTAAAAAAAATAATAATAAATTTATGATTTTAAGAATGATAATTTATTTTAAATAAAGGAATAAAAACAATAAAACAAATTAATAGTTTCTAATCTAATAATTGGGTTCTATTTCCTGAAGAAGAGTTTTCAACACAAAAGTTACATTCATTGTTTTAAAAATTATTATTTAATTTTAATCAATAAATATAAATAATAAAACAGTTGAAATTGTTTTGAATCTAATTTTTAAGTCTCATTTCTCACAAAAGACTATTCCACACAAAAGCAACTTTAACTTCTTTAAAAATGTTCATTTATTTTCTAAAAAGGATGGAAATAATAAAACATTTCAATTTATTTTTAATCAAATGGTTTCAATTTTTAATTAGTTTATTTGTGGTTACCTCTTTATTTGAATGAAATAACTTTTAAATTGCCACATTTGTTTAATCTTTTTATCAGCATAATTATTTCTTGTAAACATGTAAAAAATAAACTAAAATAAACTATTATAAGCTATAATTTTCATTCAACATTCAAACTCTTTTGAAATTTTCTAATTAAATCTCACAAAGACTTTATTATAGTTATTAATTAAAATACATCAACGGCATTCACATTTATTTGAATTATGCTATTGAAATATTCTAAGTATGAATGTTACTAAGCATGATTAGCTTTTATCGTTCGCTAATATGTTAAAAAACTGTTTCCAATGCGAATTGTTATGTAATATAAGATTATCGTTACATATTGTTAACAAGTTAAATCACTTCTCATTTTATTGTTTAAATTTTTTTCAAGTGCAGTTGATCATTTTTCAAATACATGTATTCTTTCACTTCATTGTGATCTGCTTACATAAAATTATAATAATTACATATTTAATAAACAGAATGATATTTTTATCGACTTTTAAGAAAAAAACCATTGATAAATGAGAAGTAACCACAGAGGTTGGTGACCTGAACGAACATGAGTGAAATCTCCTAGCTATATGAATAAATAGAAATAAAAAATATATCTGTAATATCCAGTCTAATGATTGAAATTTATTCCCCAAAAAGTAACTTTTAATATCCATGTATTTTATCTGAGTGACAAAATGAAATACAATAGCTTGAATTGTTTTTAGTCTAATGATTGGTGTTTATTTCTCTCAAAATAAATAACTATAAAATAGTAATTTCTTATTGTTTTGAGCATTTTTTATCTATACATAAAATGTTTCAAATAATTATTATTCAAAGCAATGGTTTTGTCAATTGTTTTACTGACCTTTAAAACCAGTAATTTAGGTCTTTTCCTGCATTTAATTTAAATTCTAAAAATTATTATAATAAAATGATTTTAATCTAAGGTTTCGCGTTTATTTCATACAAAACAAAAAGAAAACATAAAAAAGCAACTTCCAAGTGTTTTGAGTATTTCATATTAACGCTTGAACTATTACAAAAACCACTCTACAAAATAATAATCTTGTCAATTTTTTATGTCTGAAAAAAGATAATTTATTACATACAAAATGAAAAACTATGGAAGGATAGTTTCGCTGTGTTTTGAATATTTCGCAGCTAGGCATTAAACATAACAAATATTATTCCTCAGAACAATAATTTATTATTTTTTACAGTATTTGAAAACAATCACTTAGTTTTAAAATGCATAAACTTTATTTCAAAAAGTATAAAGATGGCAATAAAAGTCGACAAGTTTTAAACGCTCATAATAGGCGTCCATTCGCAAGACTCGCCAGACTTGAAACAAGAATTTTCATGCCAGAGCATTTTCATGTCTGATGAGATTTGAGAACTGGTTTTTATTTGTGAACGCTCTAAACATATCGACTTTTACAGCCTTCTTCATATTTTCTGAAGCAAATGAAGTTATATCTTTAAGTATCATATAGTATATCTTTCCTTTTCAGTTTCTTGGAATTACTCATTCAATAACTTAGTTAATTTACAGCATTTAAATACCGAATTTTTACAGACTAAATTTTTAACACTAAAACCTCAAAGAAGGAGAAGTTAAGTAATCATTATGTTTGTCAAGCTTCACTGAAAATAAAAGTAAGGTAAGACCAAGAGATATTAGGATCTTGAAAAGATTCTGAGGGACGAGAGAGGGAATAATACTGTCTGTTTACTGCGATTCCTGGCGGTTGTACAACAGCAGTACTAGAGTGTCTACTTGAAAAAGAAAGATGAATAAGAGTGCTAAGTAATAAAGTAAATATTTATGTTTTGTTTTCCCAAGGTAAGTGTTTGAATTTTTACAATTAGGGAAGAGGTCCGGGCTTAGTAAAAGACCTCGCAATCACTCTTATTTAATTGGAGAGTTAGCGCACCTGCTAGTTAGGTATGGTGCACTGTTCTTAAGTTAACAGCAGAATTATAGGTTTGACGAGAATTATAATTAAGTTGACGAGAATTATAGGCTTTTCTTACCAGAAATGTCATTCCCATACAATACGGTAAATTTACCACAATTTTTTTCTCCCTTTACATCTGATTATGAATTTCTCAGCATTTCTAAATGCCATTGATTTGTCATCTGTTTAAAAAAAAAGGTAACTAAGATAACAAATCTGCCACACATAGCATGAATTTCTCATTATCTTTTTATACGATTGATATATCATTTGCTTCTGTCTGAGGTCATATCATATTGTAACTATTATACTGTAATTTTATCTTTTTTGTAGCATTAAATAAAACGACATTTTTAAATGAATTATCATTTGGTTTCTAAGTTTTGAAATTACTTTTTTGTATTACTGTACTAAAGCTCAGGTCAAATTCACAGAAATTATTTTGAGAAACTTAAATTTTTTTATTTTCTTTTGAGTGCTCGAGTTATTTTTTATTCTTAACCAATTTCTTCTCAGAACAAAAAATGCTGAAGAATCGAAACATATTTCCTCAATATTCAAAAGATAAAAATGTTGGAAAAATTACCTGACCTACCTTATTTTGTCTAATTTAATTTGTTCGAATTTTCTTTTGCACAACCCATTACAGGCTAAGCTCTAGAAAATGTGAAATCATATCTAAAGAAAACTAAACTCATTGGCATGACAGCCCATAGAGGGCCAAGGCCTACTTTGCCCATCTCAATTTTCTTGACCTTGGGCTCTGGGTTATAGGAGCAGATGTTCCGGTCAGGTGGTCAGCCGAACGCGGAACCCCCAGTGTTTAGCTCCCAAGCATGCTTGGTCCCAAGCATGCATTCGACCCACTGAAGGGATGAAAGGCTGAGTCAACCTTGCCCGGCACGAGGATCGAACCCAGGACCAGGAAATCATTCCTAAAAATATATTCAAAACTTCTTCAAAGAGGTCAAAAAAATCATAAGATTTGGAAACATGGTGAAACTTGTTAAAGAATAATATCAAATCTGAGAATAAAAGTATTTTGCAGTTTTAATCGCTAAAGTTAAAAAATAAATCTCAGTTTAAGATTTGTATGCAAATTTAGTAATTAGCCACAGATTTTCAGTATGACTCATAAAATATGAAACATTAAATAGCAAAGAGTGATTTTTATTCGCAATAAAATGAAAATAGAATAACAGAGAATGTTACTTTTTCCTTCATCGTTATAATGGAGACAAATATAAAGCATGCGTAGTATTAGAAAACAGCTGGGAGAATCAAAATGATCTCATTACATGACTTTTAAAACAGTATCTTTTAAAACGACTTTCATCTTAAAATTGGCCGGATAAAACAACACCAAATAGCTGTATCTTTGTCTGTAATGCTTAAGGTGACGAAGATGAGGATTGTGTTTTTAATTTAAAATTTAACTCTTATCAATACTCAGAAAAAAATTCTTGTTAAAACTACCAGAATATGGTAAAATTTAC